CAATAGAAAAAGTGCAAAGGTGGCCACATCTCCCCAAAGAAATACAGCTAGCTAATAAACATGTTAGAAAGCAGTTTAAGGTTTTTGGTTATTTGGAACATACAAATTAAAAACAACAACCCACTTCAGTTTGTTAGAGCTTTTCAAAATGGTTGCCATTTGACTAGGACGTAGCAGAAGAAAACACATTCCCATATATGCCTGGAGGAAATATCAATTCAAATAACCTTTAGAGCACAGCTTACCATTATGAAATCAAAAGCTTTAAGGCATATGTGATTGGCCTTTCATATCTTTTGGTTCTATATCTAAGAATCAACAAATTGCAGGAAAAAAACCACTTTTTAAAAATTCCATTTGTATTTAAAATGTGTCTTTTTCTTAACATTAGCCCCTTAATGATATAATTTAACACATATTTACATAGCATTTACATTGTGTTAGGCATTTTCAGTAATTTGGCGATCATTAAAATATATTGGAAAACAAAAATAGCTGACATGTAAACGCTATGGCATTTTCCATAATAGAGTTGAACATTCACAGATGTGGGGATCTGGAGGGGGTCTTGGAACCAATTCCCCACGGATAGGGAGGGCCAATTATTGAATTTCCTTGGGCCTAGAAAGTCTTCTATAACTGGACTAAGAAAATGGTAAAGGAATTTGGTAAGGTATTGCAAGTAACTGAGTAAGGTGAAGCTATTAGAGATTAAGCTATAGATGGGGCTGGCTCCGTGGTTTTGAGCACTGGCTGCTCTTGCAGGAGACCCAGGTTCAAGTCCCAGCACCCACATGATGGCTCACAACCTGCTTGTAACTCCAGATCCCGGGGATCTGATTCCAACCTCTGACCTCCTTGACCACTGCAGCCCTGTGATGCAGAGATGTACACACAGGCAAAATAGCCACACTCTACTATCCATTTAAAAAGTATTTTTTTTTTTTTTTGAAAAAGTGAACAAAGAAATGAAGCCATAGAAGCACGCTGAGCAGCATATTATATGTTCAGGGTACGTGGATGGCGTTGTGTGTGTTTACATGATAGATGGAGCCTGGAACCCAGATGTTCTTATCTGCTGTGCTTTTCTTTAGGTATTGGACAGCCTTGGGAGGATTTAAAATAGCACAGCAGAGCGGCATATTAGATAGAGTCTTGTAACATTGGGCCTGGTGGTGGCACATATATGGTCACAGTGGGCCAGAGAGAAATGGTGAGACTACAAAGGTATGAGCAGGAGTAAGTAGAGCTTGTGGATAGACTTGTTGCACCCCAGGAATGTGATCTTCGATCTTCCCTATGGTAAGTGACACTCATAAGCACTTGTCCTTAGGAATCCCTAGATATCTGGGCGTCTTCGTCAGAAGTGGAACCAGGAAAACGGGCTAGGACTTGGAGGCGAGTGTGCTAGGCTCCGTGTCAATCTCTTGTGCCTCTTACTCTCAGTAGTTCAACCATGTCCCTTCAGTGCTTAGCCGGGCGAGCAGCTCATTTAGGATGGTCTTTGGTAAACTTGGGGCCAATATGACTTGAGGACAGGGATAGAGAGTAGGACAAGTGATGACTGAGAGGTGGGAGCCTAGAACAACAATGGTTCAGAGATACAAGATGAATTAAGACAGCCATTGGGTAAATGGACAGAGTTAAATGTACCGTTTTCTGGGCTGGACAACCTTGGACTTGTATGGGATTTCTCCTAGGGAACTGTGACTGTTTTTCAATAGCATCTGGACATTTTTTCCCCTGGAATGACTAGCCTTGTATGACAAGTCTTATAATGACTTGAATTTTATAAGGGTTTGCGAATCACATGTCCCCACCAGACCTGGGACTAATATATGAGTTTGAGTTAAAATTTACTGGTGTGGGCATTGCTGGATCTGTATGATGGGATGCCCTCTTGGGTGTTTTGAGATGTCTCATGGTGGAAAAAAATAGACCTCACGAATGTATGGTGGTACTGGCATTAGACAGCAGGAGGAGAAAGCCTTTGTGGCCTGCTTTATGAGTGTGACATGACAAGTACATTGGGGGTTTCATCTGAAATGCTTGTGAGAGCTTTTCTCCCTCAGTCTCTCCATCTGTGAAGTGAGGTTAGGTCACTTGGCTCTGCCTTCGATGGGATGTGTCAGTTCTCTGTAGCACCATTCAGCTTGCATCCCCGATTTTGCTCTTTTCTTTAAGGCCTGCACTGGGCAGTTTGGAACATAGGTAGAGGACCAAGTGGGTGCTGGGATCTGCTGGCATCTGTTCTCATCTCTCATCTTCTTTGTACTTCTAGATGTCTTCTACTATTTGCCACTCAAGAGATGCTTTAGCTTTCCTTCTGCCAGTCTAAAACATGCTGTCATAAGTTGGAGGTGGCGGAGCTGCCCATTAAAGGAAACAAAGCCAAAGCAAAGCTTCATAGGCTGATTAAGTTAAAATATTTTTACAATGCATGATCAGCTAAGACTCCTTATAATTGTGACCTCAGCCCGACTAAGCAGAGTCTCAATTTTAGAAATCCTTCGAGTGGCTGAAAGAGGATGTGGGTTACCTACAAATGGAATGTGTTGATTATTGAGGTTTTTTTTTTTTTTTTTTTTTTTTTTTTTTGCTAATTTATTCACTGTATTTGACTCAAAGATTGTTTGGGGGAAGAAAAAGTTCTCTATCCTGGTGATAAGGCATAGACAGGCTAGGTGGGAAAGACCATAATGTCAGTTAGAATGTTTTGGCCCTGGGAAAGTAACTGTTGGTAAGTTCATGTACACTCAAGACTAGACAAGCTAGCTGTCTCTGTGAGTAATGGTGGCTAACTGGAGAAGGGAGTATCTTGGAGCTGGAGGCTTACACCTCATAGTAGGTTCCTGAATATCTGCGGAAGGAAAGTACAGAACCAGTTAAACAGTTTTGTGTTTGACCTTCTAGGCTACTGACACAAAAAAAGTAAGACTTCATGAATTGTGAGCCCCAACATTGCCTTTTAACTTTCTGTTTGGCATGTTGCAAGTGTCTGGGTATTTCACAAACTCAGGCTGCTGGAATGATTCTCTGGGGTATTGCCGAATAACAGGAGCCCTTTCCAAGGTGGTTGGTAGCTGGTTTCATTTCTGTACTGTAGCTTCAAAGTGTAGGCTTTGGTGGGCCTGATGCTGGGTAACAATGGGCAGCCTCCAACTTGGTCCTTCGCCTAAGGTAAGTAACCTTCCTGCTGTGTCTGGGGTAAAGAACACCAGCTTCATTTAGCTATTTCTTGGACTGCTCCTGCGGGCTAGGCTAGGGTGTAGGGAGGAACTAATATTTGCAGAATCAAAATTTCAAGCCCATGATCCTTATTCATACCATTAGAGTTAGTTGTATGTAGTTCAGCAATCTGCTTCTTTGGTATTTTAGACAGGCAACATAGTGGATGGAAGAAGAGTATTGCATGTACTACAGGTGAGCTCTGGGAATGCAGCCCACACAATGAAATACATCTTATTTCTGTGGGAAATCGTGAAAATTCTCCACAAAGAAAGTCATGCTTTGGGCAAACTTACATTTTCTGTTTTAGAGCCTTTTGGATTTGGGGTTTACCAGTAGAGGACTGTGGACCTAAAATTATTTGCACTTTAATCAAATGGACCCAGAGGGGAAAGGCATGGGGATGGGTGTCCTGATCGTGGATGATGGACTGCCACTGGTATTCTTCCTGGGACACTTTTTCTTTTCCATACTCCCTTCTTTTCCTCTTAGCAGGGATTCTAGCTGCCAAGCAGATGTCTTCCCTATGGTACAGATTATTCTTCTCACTGCAGAGTCCTCAGAGAATAGAGGAACAAAATGACAAAGCACACACACTTGGCAAAGCTGACAAGCCCATAATGGAAATTACCAGAGCTTTCACTATGACAGGGAAAGCTGTCAATGAGTTTTTAAAACCACACAGTTAAATCAGTTTAGGTCAAGGAACCCTGTAAACATAAGGTTTAGGTATTAGTTAATCCTCAGTCCCATGTGTCTTTGGCCCTCAGAGTTCAAGAGCAACCACATAGCATGGGAGGCTAGCATGAATGGCTGCCTTCATTCCATCTGGAACATTGATTCAGCATGCAGAAGTGGTGGGGGAGTCCCCGGGTTTGCAGAATCAGATTGCTTTGTGCGAGAACCCAGGAATTTGCGTATTTTGTAAGTTTTGCAAAGGATGTTCTCTCCTTGATGACAGTTGAAGAGCACTGTATGGGGAAAGGCCAAACCACTGCAGGTCTTCAGAGGCTGTAGTCCAGTCCTGCGGCACACCCAGGAGCAGCAAACTGATTGGCCTCTTAGAATGACAGATTCTTTTGTTTGGCATTTTTGCCTGTCATGATAACAGGGCATTAAAAAAGAATTACCCATCTAGAAATAAACCAAATCCAGTGGGGTTTAGAATCTCAGGTAGCAGTTTGTTGGAGTTTTGGGAAAATTCAGGATCCCCAGTTACATCCAATTTTCAGATAAACACAAAGCAAAATAGAACTGTGCTTTGTGCAACACTTCCAGCCTGCTTACACAAACCGTTATTTATTCTTTCTCTGGGATTGCAATTTAACTTGGTGCCCTGTATTTTCATGTGCTGGATTTGGCAGCCCTGAGTATTGATAAGCACACCTACCCTCATGGGAGGCAAACCATGTGTGTTTGCCTCTTCCATGCGCACAATCTATTTTTACCTGCCCTGTGTTAAAGCTTCAAAGACTGGCTACTTATGGCATCTTGAAGTTAAAGCACTGAAAAATCAGCCCTTCCACCCCCTCTCTCTTTCATACATACATACATACACACACACACACACACACACACACACAAATACAAATGTACTCTGGTAAAATATAACTATACAGATTTTAACCAATACAACATACACATTTTACTTTTCTAGTTTTTTTATATTGCATTTTTGTTGTTAAAGTTTTGTTTTGCTTTTAAATGTTATTATTAAAGTGACACCAAGTCAGTGTTTTGCTCACTAACCATTCTTAATTTTTCAATTGCAGATCTTCCTCCTGGCCTGCCCTCCATGTCCAGGAGCTGCCGTCATCTTCAAGTAAGAGAAAATTGTGTTTGCTTCTTGGCCTTTCCTTTGCAGGCTATTCTTTCCATTTGATGATAGAGGACAGTGTGCTGTCAACCTCCTGGATTGTACTGCTTGGTTCTTTGGCCTTTCGTAAGGAATGAGCAGCTGTAGGGGTCCACTGAACTGTCATGTACGGGTTGTGGCTAGTTTTGAGGTCTGGCAAATCCCATTGAACCAAACTTTGTGATTACACAGCCAAAACAGGGTGGCTTGGCAGCTTGTCCTACTGAGGTTACTCTTGAGAGCTGCTGGGGGCCACCTACCTTTATTCCATAGTCTCCCCTAACATTCTCTTCACTGACTATGTGGTATTGAAGGCCTGTGCCTTAATGGCCATTTTTCCTTCAGGTGCAAAATGAAGTGACAGCGATTCTGAAAATTGAACTCAGGGCTATCTGCTGGTTAATGTTCTGTCACCGAGCCACAACCTTAGCCCTAGAAATCCTGACTTTCTTTAAAAGATCAGCAAACATCCATTCCATTAGAGAATACTGCAAGCAGACATGTTTGTCTGAAGGCAAGTTTACTTAAATTCAATTAGTAAGAGTCCCAGGACCCTCATTTTAGCCATGAGTTGTGATCATCTCCCTCATCAGACCGTGTATTAGAGTCGCTAGTGCGAAGGTAAATGGGCTGAATTAATTTCCTCTCTCCCTCCCCCACCCCCATGTTGCAGCTATTGGAGAATAGCGAAATGGCCAGAGGGAGGGAGCAGGAAGTAATAGGCCTTGCAGATGCTTGGATAGTTGAGAGTAGAGTAAATGGCTTTCTGATTTACTTAAGTCATTAGAGTGTTAGGTAGGGGGAAAACTACCCCATTTGCTGCTGCAAACAGCTCCTCACAATAGCCACTTAGTCTCCTGCCTAAGGCGAGTAACTTTCTTCCGGGTGAGGGGTGATGGATCCTGACTTTATATTTATGTGGACAGCTCCCACAGAAAAGGGCTATTTAACCTCACTTCCCTCCCTTGCCTTTTCAAAATGAGCTCAATTATTCAGTGTAATGTTTTTAAAGCAATATTCATTGATTTTATTTCATTAGGATGAAAGCAACAATTTTCATCAAAAATTACACACCATCTCCCTCCTATTCCCAAGAGACAACTTCAGCTTTTGTCTTTCTATTCTGATGTGCAAAAATCACATTGTTTACTCATATTTTACTATTAATTTTCTCAGTTAAATGTAATTTACTTATTTTTATACAGAAATACAGAAATATGGTTACTGGGTATTTCGTAGTGGTCCTTTGCAATTTCTTTTGGCTTGGCCCCTAACTCAAACTATTCTGCCATATGATAAATCAGTATGTGTATTTCTCCATGTGAATGGACAAGCTCATGTGGCTTTTAGTCTTGTTAATTGTTTTTATTTTTCAATACATCCTGGGTTTTCACTCAACAGTACCTCATAGAAATCTTTCAAAGTCTACTGTATAAGTCTTATTTCAGAAGGCTGCAAAATATATCATCAGTACACAATTTATCTTGCCATTTCCATATTAATGAATATTTGCTTTCTTCCATAATGCTGAGATAACCATTAGTGTGTAACCTTCTATATTGTTGCTTTCAATTTTTGTGTGTATATGTGAATGTCTTTTTTTTGTGTGTGTGGTTTTTCAAGACAGGGTTTCTCTGTGTAGCTTTGGAGCCTGTCCTGGAACTTGCTCTGTAGATCAGGCTGGCCTCGAACTCACAAAGATCCACGTGCCTCTGCCTCCTGAGTGCTGGGATTAAAGCTGTGTGCCACCAACGCCCGGCTATATATGTGAATGTCTTGCATATTTTTCTATACAAATATTATTTTTATGTAACTTCCTCATTTCCAATTCTATTTAAAGTTGCTTTATAAAGATGGATAACCAGTTGTACTAGAACAGTATATTACATACTCCTTGCTTTTTCCTGTAAACTCAACATCCATCATTGTCAGCTATTAAATGCTTTATGTACACGGCTCAAGTTATTGATTCTCTGTTCTGTTCCATTGGATTGTGTACCAAGAGCATATTCATTTAATTACATTAGTTTCAAATTCATTTAGCACTGTCCTGTCAATTTTCCCTATTTATACATTTTAAAGTTTCATTTTACTCAATATTCTCATCCAGTTGTACTAGGATTCTAATTAAAATTGCATTACTTTGGGTTTAACTTTTTAATTATGTAGTTCTTTTTAGCTAAGAAATTGTATTTCTTTGCATGTTCACATCTGATTTTGTGTTAATTAGATCTATTCTCTTCGTCTTATCTAGCCTATGCTCTTTTTTGATGAATTTCCCAAGAATTAATAGCTTTCCTTCTGCTGGGGCTCAAGTACCTTTCTCATCTCCATTGCTAAATACTGTTTGCTATCAAAGAAAATGATTATTGAGTTTTATGAATATTTATCTTATGCGTAGCTATTGCACAGATTCTCCTATTCTGGTAAATTTCATTTTTCTTCTATCTTTTCAATACTTACATTTTTGTTGTGTTTTGTAGAAACTCAGATAGCTAAATAGAAATAATGTTGATGGTTTAAAGAGTTTAAAGTCAAAATGTTTTCTGTGTTCTTTTACACTTGCTACTGGCATTTGTTTATTTGGCTTTAAGTTTTCAGTTTTGTGTTTTCACATTTGCTTACAGGATTGGTTACTATTGAAAGTTTGCTCTAAGTTTTTTCTTTCCTGAAGCACATGAGTCAAGTTCTGTGCTCGTTTATTTTTTACAGTGCAATGTATTATGTTGATAGAATTTCTGAATTTACTGAAGTAAACATGCTAATCACACTATGTTACTATTTTGATACAAAGCTCATCAGTATTTTGTTTAGAATGTATCTTCAGTATTCATAAGTGAGACTGAAATCTTTTGTGTTTTGTTTCCATTAGATTTGAAGATTAAAGATAAAATGGGTAACATATCATAGAGTGTTTCTTCTTTTTCTTTGGCCCATAATAGTTTAATTACACTTAGAAATTATATGTCCTTTGAAGGTCTAATGCAACCCCCTTGTAAAGTACATCTGGACTTGGTATCTTTTTCATTAGGTAGAACCATCATTACCTTTTCAATATCTGTTCTATGGAAACCAATCTATTCAAATCTTTTGGCTTTAATTTTGGTTGTTTGTATTTGCTAGGAAATTATCTACTTATTCTCTATCTTGAAATTTATTGCCATAAGTTTGGGTAAGTATGCAATACTCTTTATCATTTTTCTTCTTGACCTTAATTTTGTATGTTTTCTGTTATCTCTTCTATATTTAAATTTGCTCATTATCGATTTTTGATTGCCATTTAGACTAAAGTCTTGGAATTATTCATCTTTTTAATCTTCCTTTTTAAGTGTTAGAACCATGCGCCTATGCTACTTAACAGTGCTTACATCCCAGTGCACACCCATAGGCTCTGCTTTGGGCTCGTTGAGGGGTGCTACCTACCCATTTCTTATTTGTCCACTGGTGCTTTGCTATACCAGTCCTGTGCAAGTTTGCTAGCTTCCAAGCTAAACAGAACTTGGCAGGTTATTTGCAGAGACATGCCCAGTCCCCGAAGGAAAGGGGTTATGTGTACAGCAGGTCACGTTGCCCCATGCTGGTTTGGGCCTGACGGTTCTTTTGGGGGCGGAGAAGGGGCAGGATTCTCTCCAGGGATCTCACAGTTTGTGTCACGGGGAAGAATGATAGCTTGCCAGTGTTCCAGCTGAGTCGTGACAATTTCATTTATGTGCACCTCTGTCGATATGTGACTTGCTAAGTGCTGCTGCTGTGGCCTGCTGCTAAAGGGGCTGCCTCAGTAGAAACCATGGATCTGAGACGTATAGCTAGAATTGTCAGGTTTCTACTTGGCGCACTCCACAGCAACCTTGGGCATGATGGTCTTATGAACTCTAAGGTCACCAGCTTCTGCAACTCCAGCCTGGTAACTTTCTGCTTCTGAAAGCCCCCATCTCCATGTTTCTCAGGGCTCCTTCTTTGTGAGTAGGTGCTCAGCTAGCAGCTCCAGCATTGTTTGTTGTATTTGTATTTGTACATGCAAGACTGTTCTCCATCTCTTTGCATCAGAGCTGTTTTCCTTTCCTCATTTGGCTGCTTAGAGTGGCTTTTTCCTTAAGAGCAGTCTCCTAGTACTTTCTATGGCCACCCAGTAGAATACCTTGTTCCCATTCAGGTTTGACTAAAATCAACACATTCTGCCCTTTGTGTTGAGGTCCCACTTCTCCAGATTCAACCTACTGCACACTGAAAGGTTTGTTGGTTTCTTTTCTGATTGCATCTGTTCTAACAGGAGGCTTTTTTTCCTTGTCATTATTCCCTAGGCACTATAGTATAACACGTTTACAGAGTGTTTGCATTGTATGAAGTGCTGTTAAAAAGCAAACAATCTAGAGAGGAAGTAAGCATTGAAGTACTCCAACTTTCAAGTGAGTTACCTGACCCAGTCACCATTAAAGAATGTACCCTGTCATAGTATATGATCTTTGGTCTTCCCTGTCTCTAGTTCTTTTTTTTCCCCCTTGGAGATAGGCTCCCTCTGTGTATCCCTGACTGGCCTGCAGCTCATACAGATTCATCTGCTACCGCCTCGGAGCACTGGGATTAAAGTAAAGGCATGTACCACCTTGCTAAACCCTTAGTCTTAATAAATAAGGTTTCCTTTTGAAACCGAATAAATAAGGTTTCCTTTTGAAACCGAATAAATAAGGTTTCCTTTTGAAACCGAGGTGGGGTCGGGTAGGGTGGGGTGGCCCATACCTTTGTTCACTCAGGAGGCCGAGGCAAGTAGGTTCCTGAGTCCCAGGCTAGCCTGTTGTACTGAGTGAGTTCCAGGACAGCCAGAGCTACACAGAGAAACCCTGTCTCGAAAAAAACCAAAGGAAAAAGAAAAAAGATTTCCCTTTGATAAAGAAAAGGATAGGGAAGAGTAGCCAGGAAGTCGGCTCTCCAAAGCATCTCACTGTTACTTTTCTTCTCAACTTTTTTCT